TATTTTAAAAGATAAGCGCAAATTATGTTCCTGGTATGATTGGCGCGTCTCTTGAACAGATGGTATAATATTAGTACGATATTTATTTTCTATATTAGTTAAATATGTTGGGAAAATTCGTATAAAATTTCCATTACCACTTTATTGAAATTGTTATTAAAACTTCATATTTTGTCATATCTGTTAGGAAAGGTGGATTTGAAACAAGATTTAAGAGGGGCATTCAAGCATGTGTATATGCCGTTCTTTGATGGTTGACTTCCAAATTATGAGGATGAGCATAGAGATTGTTCCTGAATTAGTATTTGAAGAAGCTAATGAATCCACGATTCCCTTACTTTGAATTATGACTTTTAGAAGAATTTGACATTTCAATCATGTTTGGTAGTTATTGAACTGCTAGAGAAGCATCAAGCGTTAAGGGTCATCCTGAGAAGGATCATTCGTTGAGGGTTCAAGGTAGCCAAGCCGAAACTTTATCAAATGCCCAACTATTAAGTCACTCCAAAAATATTATTGAACTTTGAAAAATAAAATCATGAGAGTCTTTGGATTCAACAGAGACAAATTAAATACAGATACTCACCTCCTGAAGGAAATTGCTAATCATACTCATATGAAGAAAATATCAAGATAGCGTGTCGAACCGTAAAGCACTGACTAATCTACCCCCCTAAGGTTTAGACTAAAAATTTGTAAAAAACCCGGGTAGTATACATAGGCGATTTTTTTTTTTTAACGGAATTAATAAATTTTAATAAAAATATAAAAATTATTTTATTTAAATTTCATTATTTAAAACAAATTAAAAATCATTCCAATTATTGTATTCAATTTCATTGTCATCATTGCCTTCATTACCTTTATTATTACTATTTTCATCTGATTCATTTTCTTTGTCTTCATCTGCTATAAAATCATCATAATCAAAAATCATATCATCATCTACACCATCAGTTTTAACTGAAATACCACAACATTTAAATGATTTATAATCAAATTTGAATCAACCTTTTCCCATGCAGTTTTTACCCATAAAGATATCAAAGAATTATATTGGATTTAAAACTTTTATTGACTGCTACATCAAGTACATCAAGAGGTTGTAATTTAGGTGTTAATCCTTCAGAAATTACTACCATATTTGTATGAAACTCATTTAATTTTTGTTTAACAGAATTAACTAAATGACCACAAAAATAAGAAGAGATCTTGATTTATTAATTATTGAGAAAACCTTTTAGACTAAATATTATCAAGCTACCAAATCATTTCTCCTTTATTTATTCAGCCTTTTTCATTAGTTCTAATGAATACACCATCAGGAAACTCTTCTCTAGGTTTGTTTTTCAATTTAAAAATAATAACAGAAGGTAGTTTTGATCCATCAGCCATATAACCTAACATAACTGTAAATGTAGTCTTGATACTAATTGTATTAAAATCATGCTTTTTTAAAGCGTAAGAATTAGGTAAATCAAAAGAAACAGGAGTTTCATTCATGTTTGCAATAAATTGAAGGGGATAATCATATTGTATTCTTCTATAAAGAACTAAAAAATTCTATTATTTTTTATTTTTAAGCAAATTCTCTGATAAGTATTGAGCTACAATTATTTTTTGCCTATTTGAAAGATCATGACAAACTTTAACTTTGCATATAATACAATTGTGTAACATTACTAATATTTTTGAATTTTTGTTTCACATAAATCATTTATTCATTTCTTAAAAATATTTTATAAGTAATTAAAAAGTTTGATAATTTTAAGATCTCTTCAAATATCTTGTTTATTATATGCTAATTTTAATATATAAAAATATTATAATTTTAATATGAAAAATATATTGAATTGGCTTAAGGTTTATAATTTTATTTTTGTTTTTAAAAAGCTTTTTCTTTATTATTTAAAAAAGTAATATTAAAATAAAAATTTCTATTATAACTATTTCATATTTTATTATAAATACAATAATATATTTAAATTTTTTATTAATGAATAGAATTATTTAATATATCAAATTTTTTTGTATAATAATTTATAATTTTCAAATTAAAATTATCTATTTTGATTTTCTAATAATTATTTTTTTCTCTCTATATAATTTTTATTTCAAAGCAGAAAAAATTTTATTTTATTCTCTTTTATAATATATTAATTTAAATTAATAAAAGATATATTTGCTACTATTTTTTCTTATTATTTAATAATTATTTTTAAACTTCTACATATTTTTTAGTATTTTTATTTATATTATATATTTAGCTAAAATAGAATTATTTAAGAAAAAAGATAAATTACTTATTTTATTAAGGTTATTATTTTTGTCAAATTGTATTTAAATTTAAAGTATTTATTAAAAGCTATCATCAAAAATGTTTTTATTTAAAAAATCAATTTTTTATATATTATATAAAATCTAACTAAAAAATACATTTTATAATTTAAGAGAATTTTCTTTCTTCTATAAAATTACATATATTTTTGTTATTAAAATTATATATTTATATATTTGTATCTACTTGTAAAAAGATCTTAAAAAAACTTATTTTTAAAGTAAAATTTCATATAGTAATCATTAAAACCTGTATTCATATGCTTCAAAACATTTATAAGCAGATTCACAGTTTCATTAGAAAGTTTATGTTGTTTCGCTGCTTGATCTAATGTCACATAAATGCATAATATTTTATAAGTTCAATAACTTTAACAAGAGCTATACCTATTTAATGCATTTCTTTTACTTGTCATTAAGAGAATTTATTTTACAAATTAATTTTTATTTATCTAAAAATTAATTTTTATTATTATTTCTATTATTATTATTTTAATTCTATTCTTATTTATTTTTTCTTCATTTTTATTTCAAGATTTATTTTTTTATTTAATATTTTTCTTTTATTTCTAAATCATTATAATATTTTTAAAGTTATTTCTTTCTTTTATATATTTCTTTTTTATTTTATAATATTTTATTTCTTCAGTTATTTTATTTACTTTATAGTTAAGTATTAAACTTTCTATTTGATTATTTTATTATTATTATTAAATATTTATCATATGTTATTATTATTATTAATTACATATCATGTAATTCTATTATTATTAATTAAGCTTTATTAGTTCAAGTTATAAAAATATTAAATAATTTATACTATTTTTCTTGTTTTGTTAGTTTATTTTAGTTTAATTTCTTTGTTTTTTTATTTTTTTTTATTATTAAAAGTACTTAAGAAATGTTTAACATATCAAAGAGATATTTATCATCTTATCTATTGGTGTATTAACATATAAAAAGATCTATTAATATAGGTAATTAAGATAAGTTTATCATTAAATAAAGTAACTAATATGATATTATTTTCATTATTTTTGATTTAATTTTTTATTATAAAATTTGATGTTTATATATAATTCTAATTACTTGACTAATAATTGTCTTATTTTTCTAAAGATTTTTTTTTATAAAGATTATTGTAGTATGATATTTTTTTAAATATCATTTATTTAAAATTAATTTTTTCTTCTATAAAGTAACTTTAATAGCTTAACCTTCATATATTAATTCTAAATAATTTTCATATTATAAAAATTTGTTATCCTTAATTATATATAAACTTAATATTAGTATAATTTCAATATTAATAAAATTTATTAATATTAATTTTAGCATAATTTTAATATTAATAAAATTTATTAGTACTAATCTTAATATAATTTCATATTTTATTAATATTAAAATTAGATTAAGGTTAAAGTTACTAAATTTTTTATATTATTAAAAATATGTTAAGATTAAAATTAAGATTAATGAATTTTATTAATATTAAAATAATGCTAAGATTAGAATTAACAAACTTTTTATAATATGAAAATTATACTAAGATTAAAGTTAGAGTTAACGATTTTTGTAAATATTAAAATTATGTTAAGTTTAAAGTTAAGGTTAACAAATTTTTATAATATAAAAATTGTATTAAAGTTAGAATTAGGATTAACAAATTATATAATATAAAATAAGATTAAGGTTAACAAATTTTATTATTATTAAAATTATGCTAAGATTAGGATTAATGAATTTTTATAATATAAAAATTATATTAAGATAGAGTTAAAGTTAATAATTTTTGATATTAAAATTATGCTAAGATTAGAATTAGAATTAATAAATTTATAATAATAAAATTATATTAAGAATAGGATTAGAGTTAGAGATAATGAATTTTGTTAATATAAAATTATGCTAAGATTAGGATTAATAAATTTTGTTAATATTAAAATTATATTAAAGTTAGGATTAATAATTTTTTATAATATAAAATTATGTTAAAATTAGGATTAAGATCAGTTTAATTCAATTTGAATTAAAAACTAATATGAATCTGAACTAAATTTAAATCTAAACTAAATTACAAACTGGTAAAATATAAATTTGAATTATAATTTTAGATTAATTCAAAATTATAGTTTAATTATATGCAAATTTTGAAAAAAATCTATAATTAATATACAAAACTTTAGAAAAATTATAAAAGATTATGAATTTCTCTTTTATCACAAAAAATTGCAAAATTTGAAAAAAATTGCAAAATCTACAATTATTTAAAATTTTGTAAAAAAAGTGTAAATTTCTTAAAGATTTCGCAAATTTATTATGATTTTTTAAAAATTTCGTAAAAATATGTAAATCTTATTAAAAAATTTGCAACTTTTATAGTTTTTCAAGATTTTTTTTACTTGTTGCAAAATTTAAAAATAATCATAATTTTTTAAAAAGTTCATGATATTTTTTGTGAAAATTCACAATTTTTTACAATTTTCTAAAAGTTTTATAGTATTTTTGTGAATCTGTTAGAAAATTCATAACTTTTTGTTATTCTTCAAAATTTCACAAAATTTGAAGAGAAATTGTAAAAAATTGCAATTTTTTAAAAGTTTTGCTATATTTATACAAATCTTTTAAATATTTTGCAAATTTTTGCAATCTTTAAGAATTTTGCATAAAATTAATTTGAACTTTCAGATTAAATCTAAAATTTTTATTTTAGTTTAGATTATTTCAATTTGAATTAAAATTATAATTTAGAAAAAATTGAATTAAAAATTTTCAGATTATTTTTTATATAATTTAAATTAATTTAAATTGATTTGAATTAAAAAATTTTTAAATTAATTTTAACTGTTCAGAATTTTAAAATAAATTAAGATTATGTAAATTGATTACATAAAATTTTTTTTAGATATTTATGTAACATTATGTAATTTATTCTATTTATATTTTAAGATGATTATTATTATTAAATTTACTAATGTTTATTTAGAAAAATAACTTTTAAGATAATGTATTATAACCATTTTTTGATATAAACTAATTAGAAATCTATTACTAAGCAATGATTACTAATTATAATATAAAAAATACTTATATAATAGTAATTTTTAAAATACTATATAAATAATAATTAATTATATAATATTACATGATTTTAAAAAAGAATATATATCTTTTACAATCAGTTTTTTAC